CTCCTGAGTTGGAGGGGGGAGGGGAAAAAATAGGGAAGCAGACAGCCATTGATCAGTCAACAGTTCCGGGCTGATTGCAGCAGAGGTTGTGGGTCAGAGTTCTAATTGTGATATACTAGTATAGTCTGGCAGTTGTCCAGTTTGTATATTCAGTATCATGATTATAGTTGGCCCTTGAACAACATGGATTTGACCTACACAGGTCCACTTATACATGGATTTTTTTTCAATAAATATATACAGTGCTATAAATGTATTTTCCTTATAGTTTGTTAAGTAACATTTTCTTTCCTCTAGCTAGTTTACTATAAGAATACAGTATATAATACACATATAAAAATGTGTTAATGGACTATTTATGTTATCTGTAAGGCTTCTGGTCAACAGTAAGCTATTAGTAGGTAAGTTTTGAGGGAGTCAAAAGTTATATGCGAATTTTCAACTGCACAGGGTTGAAAATCCCTTGTTGTTCAAGGATCAACTGTATAGTTTTTTTTCCCTCTATTACCCTCCCAACCTAATTGGCTTCCTAACTTACCTTTCTCCCTTGATTCTCAGTTTCAGTGTTCTTTTTTGTCCCTCAATCCCTATTCTTTTTCAAGTATTATAGTTTATCTGGACCCCCTGAAACCACATTGAGTAAAATAGTTGTATAAAGTTAAGATTAACCACAAAATTATATAAATATCAGGTATTTTTTTTATTCTAGAGCCCAGTTCAGTGCCTGGAACAAGATAGACATGGAAAAAAACTCAACAAATGTTTTGGATTCTTTTTATTATTATTGAAGTTGCCTTCCAACTGTGCAGTTCTAAATCTAATTTATGTATATTTCAAACTCTAGTATTCCACCAACTCTAGTGTTTTTGAATGGAAACAGAATTTCTATTTATGCTTTAAACAGTACTTAATTCATATGGTTTATGAACTATATTAACTTAGAACTTGAAGTTGAATTGAAACAGCTTCTAATTTACATTCACATCTACTATTATAAAACAGAAACCAAACCTGCATTTTAAGTATTTATTTATTTTTAATTTTTTGTTAATCTTCACCTAAGGATATTTTCCTATTGATCTTTTAGAGAGAGTGGAAGAGAGAGGAAAAGACAGAGAGATACATCAATGTGAGAGAAACGCATGGATTGGTTGCCTTCTGCACGTGCCAGAACCAGGGTCTGGGCGGAGGAGGAGCCTTTGGTCCCCAGGCCGACACTCTATCCACTGAGCCAAATCGGCCAGGGCCAAACCTGCATTTTAATCCCAACTCTTTCTCCTTTTCTTTGTCTGACTGGTTTGGACAGTACTTCCTTCAATAAGTCCATATGCCCTCAGGCATTTGTAAAGCATGAGCCTTTACAAAAACCTGCAATGTTTATCTGATTAACAGCTCACTGAGCTGAGTTCTGAGGTTTCCAGTTAGAAAGAAAAAAAAAAAAAGTGTTGAGATAATTTCTCCATCTTATCAAGTCAACATGTTGAAACAAATTACAGAAATCCATATTTCAAAACACGTTTTTAACTGCTTTTTAAAGGCTTGTCTACAATTACATTTGCAGTTTTCTCAGGAAGTTCTTGACTCTACCCAGTCCTGAGCAAAATCAGCCAAACCAGTCCCACACTCGGTGCCAGTTGTCTGCATTGCTTTATTTCTCTAATCAATTATCTTTCATTCCACACTCCATCCTGCCATAATCTCTTAAGTAGTGTGGTCTTCACTCTTCCTTCCAAGTTTACTCACCTATCTTCAAATGTCTTGAAGTCACCTCATTATCCAAGACCAAGCTCATTGTCTCTTTACTCTCACCTATCTTATCTACTCAAACCTACTCTGTTCATATTTAACCAACTTTGATTAAATACCCTATGATTCACCCAAGCACAAATTTGCAAGTCATTCTAGAATCTCTTTCATCTACTCCCTTTCACCATTCTATCCAATTAGTGTCTAGGTGTTCCTAATTAAAATGTCTAAAATCCTCTCCAATATCTTTCGATGAAGCCTGCTAACTTGTGGCCCTGCCTCCAGATCCATGCTCCTCCTGAGTATCCCCCCATTCTGATACACTAGTGAAATATAATCGTATTACTTCCTATTTTAAAATCTTTCCATGTTTTCCCCATCCCAATGGGATATAGTCCAAATTCCTTTGGCATGTTGTGGCAGATTCTGCTGACTGCCTACCCAAAAAGCCAACAATCTCTCTTTCACCTTGTTAACAGAATCCCAATTTCATTTCAGTAACTACAATACTATACTTGGTTATGTGATTAAAGAGAGTTAGGCTCCAACCCCACCCCCAGGGAATAAACTATGGTTGGTCTAAGTCAATCATGATGGCCCATTCTATCACCAAATATTGAACCTGGACATCTGATGCAGTTCTAACCAATGACGCTGAAGGGGAGTCAGCTGTTGGAAGGAATGAGAGGAGGGAAGAAGACATTTCTTGAAAAGTTTTCTCTATCCTAAAAAGAGTATAAGTCAATAAAAAGTTTACAGCTATGGTGGGGGGACAGGCCTGGAAGTAACAGGAAAAACTTGGGTCCTTGATAACATCATAAAAGCTGGTTAGTTAACCAATGTGGGAGCAGCCCTATGTATGGACATATTGAGATGCTAAATTCATTATTGTTCTTATTTTTAAGTCACATGAATCGGGGGGATTCTTACCTGTTGACTCCTAACTAATACATGTGATTTACAATGCCTAATATGATCTAGCTCCCAATATCTTCCAAGCACCCCAATAAATATTCTTACCCACAACCCTGCCATATTTATAGTTCTCAGAATTATGCCCTTTTCATCTCTAAGCCTTTATAATTGCTGTTACTTCTGCATAAAAATGACTTTCATTTCTCTACCAAATGAACTCGTACTGATCATACTGAGCCTTAAAAACTCAGCTCAAA